ATTGGAATCTTAAATATTTCTTGATTGTGCCCTCTTCCTGCCACCCCAGCACCTTAGCCTTTAGCCGGCTCCATTCCCTTGCTGTGCTCCAATCCATTCTCCACACTGCAGCCCAGGGATCTTTCCACATGCAAATCTGATCACGCTGCTCCCCTGCCCAAATCCCTTCAAAGCCTCCCATCTCTCTGAAGCTCCATGCCTGACTTAGAAGATCCTCTGGGATCCTACCCCTCAGACCTGACCTCTCCCTGCTCCTTGCCTGTCCTTTACCTGCTGACCTCGCCAAGTGAAGGCCTGTGCTGGTCTCTCCTGGGCGATGGTTTCCCTTCTTGGAGAGCCCTTGTCACTCCCTTTGCTCCTGTGCTCCTAATCCATCCCCGAGGCTCTGTGTTAACACTTGCTTCTTTTCTGGGTGAGGACCCCTCCCTGTGTGCTCCCACTGCACCTGGGCATTTTGTACTATTGTCATGGTGCTCATGTCTCCACAAGGAAGCGGTGGAACCAAGCTGTAAGGAGCCAAGCTGTTTTGTTTTTGTTTTTGTTTTTTTTTTTAATAATCTGCTATAGGGCATGTGTACTCACTGGGGACAGAGAGAAAGTGTAAGCACCCCCCCTGGGGGGGGGATGAACATGACCCAATCCTTTCTGTATTCTTGGGATTTGGGGTATGTATGCACATGACACACACCGGTATATTTCTCAAGCCACAGGGTCTGAGACTCCAACTCTGCAGTCACCCATGTGGGATCCAGCTGCCTTAACCACTACACCACTTGTCTGGCCTGAAGGGACCAAGTTTTTTTTTTATTTTTAAAATTATTTTTATTTAATTTTATTTATTCATTCCTTTATTTTTTTAATTTAATTTTATCAGAAACACAGAGAGGGAGAGAGAGAGAAAGCGAGAAAGTAAGCTACCAGGCCTGGGACTAGAACCGTGGTCAGCCATGTGGGAGTATCCAGCACCTTAAACACCATGCCACCTGCTGGTCCCATGGACCAAGTTTTATTTGTCCCTACATTCAGTGTCTTGTGCAATGATTGGTCAACAAATAAGAATTTGCAAAAGGAACAAATTCTTTACCTCCTGGATGCAGATAACCTTCGTATCTGCTTCACTTCAGCCTCCTATTCTTACAGCCTTAAACCTCTCCTCACTCGCTTCTTCCCCATAAATGCGCCTGGGTGATCACAGAGCAGTGGAAGATCAGGGCTCCGGTCACTCCCCAGTAAAACCCCCGCCATCAGGCACACAGAAGCTGCCTTGGCCAAAGCCGCTATGACTCCTCAGCGCCCCTCTCCCCTGGCCTACTGTGGCCATATGCTGCTGTCTACCTCCTCAGTGAAGCCTCTCTGCTCTGGCTTCCATGCCGCCTTCCTGAAGACATCTCTCCAAGCTTCTGTTGCTGGCTCGTCTTCATTCACCCTGAAACCCAGGCCTCATCAGCCCCTGCCCCCTCTGCTTTCCTCACTCCTGACAAGAGAGACCGAGCCTGGCTGCCTCGTTCATGTCCGTGGCTGCCACACCCTCCACAGGCTGTTGACTCCCAACACTGTCTCCAGCTCCAGCCTTCCTGGTGAACCCCAGGCCCAAAGGCTTCCCCATGTTGTCTCCCCAACTGCGCGGCTCTACTACTCACTCAGTAGCCCACACCATGAGTCATCCAGATGCCTCCGCCGTCCTTAGCCAATACCCAGAAGGCAACTTGGTATAGCTGAGGGCAAGGGAGGATGCCTGACACCCCTCTCACACCTGACACCTCTACCCATCCCCGTCTGCCTCTGGTCCGGTTCAGCCCTTGTCATCTCTCCCAGACATCAACCTCTTTACCAGACTCGGACTACACCACATCTGTGCCCCTCCACACCACACCACTCTCCTCTCCACGGCCAGAGAGCCTTCCAATATGCAAAGCTGATCACATGACTCCTCTGTTGGAAAAGCTTCAGTGGCTCCTCACCGCCTCAGGATCGAGCCTGGATATTCGTGTCACATGCAAGGAAGGCCCTCCACTGCTCAGCCCGCTTACTCCACCCAGTCAGACATCTACCTTTCCCCAAATAAGCTTCTGAGCCCTCTGCAGAGTGTGGGAGTCTTCTCTCCATGTCTCTTTTTTTTTTTTTTTTTTTT